GGCGTGTTTCCGACGGGAAGTGACGTTTTTCGTGACGTTTTCATCCGAGTTCCGACTTGGAGAGAAATAATCGAACGCCCCATGAGTGTCAGGTCCCCCGCGATCCCCCCCACTCTCCACGGCCCCCCGCTCAGTCACCTTCAGGCTCGACTCGCAGTCTGTGTTGACTTTGAACATGAGTCCAAGGCGCAGGTGGATCTCCTTGGCCCGAGAGAAGCTGGGGTCGATGTACAGCACCTCCTGGAAGGCTTTGATCGCCCTGAGGGTGAGAGAGAGAGAGAGAGAGGGGGAGAGAGAGAGAGAGAGGTGCCGGCTTAGTGAGGAAGGCATGAGGGGTGGGGCACAAAGAATCCAAGATGCACCCTGTGACACCTGCCGACTCCCTGACCCCTGACACCCCCACTCACACTGAAAGTGATTTTCACAGGCTGCTCCAGTTCTCAGAAATTCACACACTGTTTTGACAGCAGCTGAAGTCAACAGCGGGAACGGGGAGGTTCAGGGTGACATAACCGCTCAGATGCTGGGGGGGGGGGGGGGCTCTCCAGTACACAGCCCAATCACCCCCAGCACCCCCAGAATGGTCAAAGGCACAGCATGAAACACGAATGCAGACGTGCAGGTTAGGCACCAGTGACAGGTTTACATTAAGAACCCCAAGCTCAACACCACTAATTATGCATTCTGCCACTGCGCCAAATTTAATCACAAGCTGCCGGACAAAATGTAGGTATGATTAAACACACCAAAGTGTTCATTTGACCGAAATCCTTGTGTGTGCTGGACGCCATTGACAGAGAGTAACAAAAGCCGGTGATTTTAATGTTGATATGCCAGCGGAGGCAGACCGAGAATATCGAGAGACAGAGGGTCATGGGATGTTTCAGACACCAAGTTACTTGGGGGGGGGGGGGGGGTCCATTTGCAGATTGACATTTACAGGGTGAAATTTTAACACAGTATCTGCACAGAGAATTCCTCTGCAGCCCTGCAAACTCCTGGGTAAATGATGAGTTATGTGAACAGGCCAGGAGGACACTGGACAGGACGGGACCCGGGACAACAGACATGGGGCATAATTTCCAGCTTTAAGACACAGAGAGCTACCAGAGAGCTACAACCGCAGCGGGGGGGGGCGTGATGGCCAGTGGGTCACCACAGGTCTAACGCCAGCGCACAGAGCAGGTCGACTCGGCCAGAGCCAGGCCAGTCAGAACCCGAAAACAGTGATAGCACAGAGTTTCAGCATGCCCCCCACCCAGACGAGGCGACCTGCTCCCCCCCCTCCCCCCAAACCTGGTGACCTGCCCCCCAGGGCTGACGATCATTACAGAGAAGACAAGTAGTGTCTGGATGTTGGCAGCCACTGGAGCCTGTTGGCGACACTCACACTCACGCACCAGGAGAGCAGCGTCTCCGACTGGAACACAGCATTCAACTACCAAGTCACCCCAAAGGAATGAGATGGTACTTACCACTGAAATGCATTGTAATGGAAGTAGACCATACCAAGGCCGTACAAAAAGGCGGCATTCTGAAAGACACAAGGCGGGCGGGGGGTGGGGGCACGTTAGCAACAGAGACACGGTAGCACACCTGCCAGGGCACCTTGGCACGATGCACTCTCGTGGCGATTTTAACGATGGTTGTTTATTTTAATAACTCCAAGACCCTTGGATTTCAGAGAAACATTAATAAAACGGCCATGCAGTGGGGTCACAGACATCTGCCAAAAACGATGACAAGTGCTACTCGTGATTTTTTTAAAAGATTAATGGGTTAAAGGCACACAGAGGTAAGTCAGCAGAGGAAGCACCCGAGCCAGGCGAGAGAAGGGCAGTGATGTCACAGGAACCACAAGAGCAGCAACGTGAGACTGACCGTAAAGCCGGCTTCACATTTACCCGAAACCAGCACCAGTATGGGGGAGGTTTCACTGGGTGCCACTGCATCCATTAACCAGCATAACGCAGCTGCCCATCTCAACCCAGAGACCCTCCACCGGCGCCGACACAGGGCTCGACACAGAGCCCCGCCGGCGCCGACACAGAGCCCCGCCGGCGCCGACACAGAGCCCCGCCGGCGACGACACAGAGCCCCGCCGGCGACGACACAGAGCTCGACACAGAGCCCCGCCGGCGACGACACAGAGCTCGACACAGAGCCCCGCCGGCGCCGACACAGAGCTCGACACAGAGCCCCGCCGGCGCCGACACAGAGCCCCGCCGGCGACGACAC